CCAACCCAACAGAGGGGTGAAACCCAACAGAAAGGAAAGAATCCAGCAGACGGACATGGTTAACAGTGTGCACCTCTGGGTGACGATGGCTTTGTATCTGAAAAGAGAAAAAAATAAATAAAAGGCAATACGTAGGAGAAAATTATACTTATAATTAACGTGCTTGGGAAATGACATCACCTTTACCTGAAAGGCATGTGTAGCCGCAAGTATCGGTCAATGGCAATAGCCAGCAGAGAGAGGACGGATGCTTCAGTCAGCACAAGCACAACACAGCTAAGGAGCAAGCACTGGTGGGAGGTCAGACTCACCCGGCCGTCTAACAGCACAGCTAAAGGCACAGCAGCTGCACCCACCAAAAAGTCAGCAACAGCCAAGGACACCAAGAAGCAGAAAGTTGGCCGCCGAAGGCAATCTTGGATGCCAAAAGCCACGGCACACACCACCAGCACATTCCCAAAGCAACATGCCACAGCAATCAGCACTTCCAGCACTGTATAAGTCACCCATCCCCAATCACCCATTACTACAGATTGACGGAAATAACTTCCTTAGAGGTAAATCATGCACAGACAGGTTTATAATAAAAGAAGGAAATAATCAGCATAATCCATCCGTATTATTCAGATTGTGATTAGGACTGAAAGGCAATAAACAGAGGTCTTTTATATATACGATCATGCGTGCGCACATAAAAGCTGAGTGACACTCCATGGAGACACCATCTGTATTTCATCAGTAAGTCAAAACCTCTCCTTAAATTCTGATGGATATGTCCCAGGAGCTTGAGAGGAGAGAACTACTAGTTCCTTGGTTTGCACTCTTAACAGCTTTTCGATCATAAAGTAATGCAATTAGATCTATGTTCCCAACTATTAATGCTTTAAACAAATACACACAGTTAACAAACCAATTTAACAGGAGCCGAATAATTACAATGTTAATACAATTTTTTACTTGTCTGTTATAGATGTTTTTAAACCTTGTAATGTTTATGGCAGATATGTCTAATTTAGATTCATTCTTCCTTTAAAATAAATTCCACTAGGAACCATATCAGAATTATAATTTCACTTGAACATGAACAAAAGTCTTCATGAACTGGAAAATGGCAGTTTTACTGTAGCTGCAAGTAACAAGTTACATTATAGAGCCCTCCACATTTACCTGTACCCGAGGTAAAGATGTTTGTCATGACACAGAACAGAAGACTCAGAAGTCAAGGCCAGACAGACAGTGGGATAACTCAAAAGGCATGTATTAAAATCAAACGAAGTAGCAGCGCCTATCTAAGGCTGGAACCTCTGCATGAGAGAAACACAGGTTATTGACCACATAAATCTAATGGTGAAAGATTATGAATGTGAGTTTCTAACCTGGTTTTAGAGTTCAGTCCATGCCCAGAGAAAGAGGTAGGATCCAGCTGGTGGGCTGCCAATAAGATGAAGCGGGATCCCCCCAGAGTGTCCCAGATGCTGCAGTCCCAGAGAACATTTAGGAGTACCTAGCCAGGTCAGGCAAACAGATCAAAACAGGAATAGGCAGGCTCAGTGGCTCAAACTGACTTTAAATTGTGATTATTTTTACTGGTAAAATTCTATTTTATTTTTTACCACCACATTCTTCTCTAGTAGGTGAAGCATAAAGGTTATTCTTGCTTTTAGAGTTGAACGGAGTGTCTAAGAACCTTTAATTTTAACCTTATAACTTTATTTTTCCTTTAGGTTTAGGGTTGATGTGTCTCATAACTGACCTTTTCCAGCAATTAGGATTAAAGGAGACAGTAAATTCCAAGTTGAAACAAAAACCAAAGGCCAATTTCAATATACCGTATTTTCACGACTATAAGGCGCATATAAGCGTCTTTTTTTCCCCTCAAAATGTGCGGCGCGCCCTATAGTGTGGTGCGCCCTATGTGTGTTGTTACTGCGGACATTTGAGACCACCATGAGAATGTTAAAGGGGGAAGTGTGGGCGTGGATAGTGTATAAAAGAACAGGTATGTGCTTTATGCAGAACTCCTCATCTCCTTATTGAGGAGATGATGAAAGAGTGGCTGAGGGAGGTGTATGTAAGAAGACCAGGTGGTTTTTTTCCACGCATCACCATCGCTGTTAATCTGTGACTCCATGCGTGCCCATCTCACAGCTGATGTGCAAAACATGGTGAAACAAATGAACGGTGTGCTTGCTGTTATTCTAGCAGGTCTGACAAAGGAACTTCAACCGCTCGACATCAGTGTGAAGCGGCCGTTCAAGTAATGCTGCTTTCACACCGGACGCAGCAGGAGCAGCAAAATCGCGTCTGCTGCTTCATTTTTGCTGCTTGTACCAGTTAGGTCTGACGCGTGGCTAAAGCAGCTTTGCTGCTCTGGCTGCACGGTGCAAAAGTGTGTCTGACGCACGTTGGACGGAGCTACTCTATCCTTTCTTTGCCTTGCAGCTATATTTGCTGTGATCAGTGGGAATAAAGTAGTTTTAATATGTTTTTAAGTGAGAAAGTCCACCTGAAAACTTCATCAATGCAGTCAGTTCATCCAGATTACCATCCTGTCTTCCAATATTATTTCTGTCGGCGCCGCTCAGACCCCCACATACAGCGGTGCCACTGTCAGTAGGAATCCCATTCAACAGCAGCCTCTGGGCCGGGTCGCCTCCTCGCGGTTCACAGCGGCGGCTGGTAGGTGTTTTTCATCTAAATAATCTAAACTGCAGGCACCAGGATAATAAAAGCGAACATATTCTGCCAGCAGGTTTCTGCATTTTAAGTTAATTTATGCGTCAATAAACTGTTTCAGAGGAGTGATCACAGCGCTCTGTGTCATCAGCGATGTGTCTGTCTCATGGCCAGCCAGGTTTGATTAATACTTTGTAATAAATACATGAATAAAGCACAAACATATCAGTTTTGCTCCCGCTCTATTTTTAAATACGCAGTAGAGGTATTTAAATGTAGTAGAGGATATTTACCGGTATATAAAACCCGCGCCCTATAATCCGGTGCGCCTTATGTGTGTGTTAAATATAGTAATGGCACACATAAATGAGACAGCGCCTTTTAGTACGGTGTGCCTTATGGTCGAGAAAATATGGTATATATTTTTTAAGTGTATCATTATAATTATTAAAATCCAATATTTTCCAAACTCTACTGAGACTTTAACTATATTTATATGCTTTGGTCACATGGGACTGAACTAGAGATGTAACTCCAAAGGAATAATATGTAAAAAAAATATATTATTCCCACTGTTAAGAGTGGTGGAGGGCCTTTTATGCTATAGGCATATTTTAATTCTAAAGGACCTTAAGTTTTTAGAGTGGGTAGCAATATGAACTGTTAGAAAAAGTGTCATTATTCAGTCTTTCAGCAGAAAAATTATCCTAAATATGCCCACTAATGTTTGTTTTTTTAACTTGTGATATCATAGGCAAGAATTAAATGTCACCATTTATCAATTTTGCATAATGAGTTGAGGGATACTGTGAAATTATATGTTTATATCTTGCTTTTAAAGATATTTTAACTTAAGTATGAAGCTGGATATTACAAAAAAATTGCAGAAGTCTTGTTGGGAAGGTAATTGTTTTCTCATGATTCTGGACCTCTGTTTCCAATATGGCTACTTGTAATAACACTGTAATAAAATCATAAATAAATAAAAATCTTCCGCTTTATTTTGTTTCAATAAATGTTTTCTTTCTACACACACTACTTTAGAACCTCATTTAGAGAAGCCAGAAGTTCTGATATGCAGAGCAATACATTGTGAACAGCTTAATTTGGTTATACTGGGTTTTTATGTCATACCAAGATCCAATGTTTTGACTATAGTAAACATTTTCTGAACTCATTAAAGTTTTTTGGATTAAAAATCAATTAGATTGATACAAAACAATTAGCTGTTGATGTCTGAAAGGTCACCAACACATTGGATCATACCCTGCAAATGATTATTATGAAAACTTTTTATAAGTAGCTTCAAAGGTATATCATTATACATAGTTTTATTTGTGGCAACATTTAAGAACTGGGAAATTTTGCAAACAGAAATGTTCCATTATATTTTTCCCCCACTCAGTTATTTTAATCATTGTGTAATGTATCAGGAAGAAAGTCAAGAGGAGTCATAAAGAGGACTTTTATTATTTTTCTGAACCCATTTAACCTCACATCCAAAAAGCTTTTCTAACTTTAACCTTGGCTTAACCGTTGACCAGATCCTTAATTAACGGATCCTTTCTTGTTACCTTAACTGCCCCATCAATGACAGTATCTGACCTATTAGTTGGAACTGACTAACTTTATAAGCCTGATACTTCCAACCTATGGTTAGAACTGCAGAAGTTCTTATTAGGATTTTCAAGTACTGCATTTAATAAATAAATACTGTCCACTTTAGAGAGCAGAGGGACAAAAAATTTTAATACTGGTTTTAAAAAGCAAGCAAATGTTTTTACCACTATTGATTAAATGTAAAACTATCTGAAGCTGTATCTGAAAACATTTATGGTATCAAAGAACTAGTTTGACTTGCAAATTCATGCAAGTAAGATGAAAACAAAGGTCTCAAAGGTTGAGCTAATAAAAACATGGAAGATGGGACTTTGTCTGAGTTTGCTATGTATAAATTGAGTTGGGGAGCTTTTGGCAAATTTGTAACAGTAAATATCAATCAGTTAACCTTGTTCAGTTTGTGTGTGTTTATGAGTGTGGCCGGTATGGGTGTGCCTTGGTGGGTATGTTTGCATCTTTCTTTTTGATGGGGGGACTTTTGGATGTTACTGATTAGCAGGTCTGTTTGCTGTGGCGGTTTCTAATGCATTCTTGCTTTGCATACAATTTTGGCTACGATGGGATATCTGTGTGTGCCTGTGTACAGTAAGCCTGTTTATGAGGTCTTGCTTCAAGCACATTTATGCTTATCTGAATGTGTGCTCTTGATGTGTATTTGTGTATACCGTTAAAAAAGGGTTACTTCAGACTCTAATTTGTTCTCATTTTTAGATTTATTTTCTGTTAAACAAGATATTTTGAGACAAACAGATCATGCGTACACAGACTAATTATCATGTGCTTTTGAAAATCTGAATATAACACAGAATCACAAAAAAAAACAAACAAAGAAAAACAACTTTTATAAACAGACGGAATTGAATTCTACTTATAAAGTAGATAATATCTCATAATCTTATAGATTTACTTGGTGATTGCCAGCTGACCTCTCATACACAGCCTGAAATTGACTTTCATCATTTCTTGTTCAGCCTTCTTTCAAACTCCACTGCTGTATCTGCAAAAAGCTCCAACCGGCAGTAGTTCATGCTCTGGCCTTTTGAATACTTAGTATTCATTTGTCATTTAAAATACCTTTAAGTAAGAATCTACGCAAATCAAATGTCAGGTCAGTCCCTTGACTTTCTGAAGTTCGCTCTTCGTCACACTACTCTAATTTGGAATCTCCTTGTAAGCCTCTCAGCGTCTTCTCATCAAAGCGGTAGGTAAGCTTCCTCTTCACCTTGTGAATCTCGCCTGTCCGTGAGTAGTTCCTCAGTGCCCGTGCCATCTTCTGGTAGGTCATAGTCTTGCGGTTCCCCTTCCTGCGACCCCATAACTGTGCAAGGCTCTCCTTGTTCTGAGAGGAGAACTGAAAGGTTCCAGAGGAGGATTGGACCCACCAGATGCAGCTCCTCATAGATGGTGTCTCAAGCATCTCAAACAGGAACTGGAACAGGCGCTCCTTCCTCTTTCCTATTGAAGAGGAAGCAGAGAAAAATTGGTTTGACCTCACCACATTGTGCGCATATAGGTGGAAAAAGATGCTCTGTCACACGCTTATGTCCTGAGATGCTCATTAGAAATTACCTGATAATGGTGCCAAAGGCAATCTTCTGTCCTTTCTCTCCCCTCTGTCGGAGGGTGGTGATGGTGAATCTTGGTAATCCTGATACTGGGAACTGCTAGATTGCGAATCTGAATCAATGTATACAGGAGCTTCGTAGGAGTATGTTATGTGTTCCTGGACAAAATAAATAAAAAGTACAAATCAATCCAGATGAAGAATGATCTGAAACTGATAAAGTTCAGCTTTTTCCCACACATAGATGTATAAAATTTCCTTAGATGTCAAACTCTTTGTACTCACCCATTGATTGTTTGGTGGACTTGGCCAGACTGGATGTGGTGTTTGGTCTTCATAACGCCACTGGTATGGATGCTGACCTGCCCAACTGTTCTCTAAGAAGAGTCAGACACAAGGGTCAGTCAAGCAGAAATTACTAAAAACATTCTATTATGTTCTACTTATGCTGTCAATATTCAGCCAACCTATGATCCTGGCGTCCCGGTGGGAGTTAGCGTGCGTCTGGTGGCCCATGTTAGCTGTAGTGGATGTTGCTGGTGTGTGGGCAGGCTGGACCTCGAGCGAATGCTCCTGCAGGTACTCCTCGATGACCTCCAGGTCCACCTCTGCATAGGACGAGGGGGTCGCCCCACTCCAAGAACCTCGGCAACCACCCAGCTTCACCTCAGTCACGTAAGGCATCTTAAATTTACATAGCAGGAGGAAACTTTCAGACATCAGGTTTCCAACAACACTCTGCATGACATGTGTTGTCTATCACTTGACAGTTTTAGCCTGAGGTAATAACAGCCTTTATATGTTATTTGTATGAAACCTATTGTTACTATCTCATTCATTTTAAATGAAGTCACATTTTCTGTTATTTAATAATCTTCACATATGCTCTTCTTTTTAGATAAAAGAGATCCTAAAAATAATATAATTACAAAAATATTATGATGAAATTTAAAGTTGTGTATATTTCAACTTCATACATGCTGTGTCCTGCAAATGTTTGTATCCTGGAAGAGAGCCAGTTACCAACACTGGGATGATGCGTATTTTAGTTTGACTGGCAAATTTATGCAAGAGTTTGTTTTCATCTGCATAGATAACATTCAGGCACCACCGGTGTGTGGCTCCCAGAAATATCCCTCAGTGAGAAAGATCAAATCCGATAACACTTTACGTGACTCTCACAGCAGTACAAATATAAACATAACAGGTGAAATGAAACTAACCGTCTCAAACTCTGTCAACATCCTTTAAAGACAATCTAGAAAAGAGAGAAACAAAACTCTTATTAGACAGCAGAATGTGAACAAAAAACATAAAAAGGAAGTGAAAAATGCTTTCACGCACACTTCTCTAAGATTTAATAGGATGGAATATGACAGTTAAAGACAAAAATGAATAAAAGAAAACTAACAAAAGTGCGCCTGTACCTTAGTTAAGTCTTGCTTCTGGTGCTATAAAATGATATCCTCAGGCAGTGAAGAGCTGCGACATGAGAATCAGAGTGTTTACCTGCATGATGCTTCAGCACCTGGGCCTCATCTCTTATAAAGTGCCACACACCCTCCTTTCCTTTCTGATTGGACAGTGAGTGTTGAGGGGGGAGAGGTCTGGAGCATTACGGGATATCTGCTGATCTAATGTGAAAAATTTCCCTTACACCAATACTCATAAACAAAAAAAAAAAAAAAACCACTACTGAGCCTCTTTCTGAAACAAAGGTTCCACAAGTTGAGATTTTAGATTTCAGGCAGAAATTATGGCATTTGCTTTATGTTCCTTTTTTATAATTTTTAAAACATAATCCACAATGTGTTTTTGATTTTGAAAAGTTGCCCAGATAGAAAAAAAATGTCTTGAAAACATTTAATAGACACAAATGTATTTTTAATATATGTCGCTTTAATTTTCTTTAGTATTTAAGGAAAAAATGTTTTTCTGTGTTAAGGTACATTTTCAAGCCATACAGGTTGTAAAAGCATACAATTGTTGGCAAAGCATAGTTTATTAAAGCTAATTGAATTTAATCAAAAAATATAAGTTCAGCCTACACAGGTGGATGCTGGACAGAACTTTTCCATAGTAAAAAAATATAAAACAAAAAATTAACAAGTTCATTTTTTGATTAAGTACTTGGCTTGTATTTTGATCGATAAAGATTAGTTTGTGAGTAAACAAAAATAAACAATTAGACAATTCATTGAGGATCCTTACTTTTAACTCTGGTATTACTTTCTTTGTTTTTGTCATTGTTATCTTTAAAACAAATAAACAGAAATTATACATACAATGACTCCTAAATATGTCACCAAAGACTCTAAATATCCTATTAATGTTAATGCAGCTGGGTACTTTTACTACTTTTACTATGGAATTTATTGCAAAAACTACTTTTTTTCCATTTCAAAACAGAGTAAAGTTACATGATATTGGAACTATGCCATATAAACAAAATATTCTGTCACAGATAGCTAAAAATTATATTTTTTTGAAGCTGTAAATGTAAAATTCTTACACTACCTGCAGAATGTAAAACAAACACACAAAATAAGTCCTAATTAAAATTGTACCGCACTCTTACACTGACCTTTATTTTTGTTATTTTATTTCCTGAAAATCAAAGCCAATGGGGTATCTGTGGTTTCTTATCACTGAATTTGTCACAAAGAAGGCATCATAGAGGTAAATGATGTGGCTTTGGATTTCTTTTATTTTTGAATGATACAGACAGACTTACTGGTGCTGAAAACATGCATGTTGCAACCCAGATTCTACCATAAAAAAGTTATTGAGTAAATGTAAAATAAAAAGACAAATTTCCTTTGCAAGTCACTTTAACCTCTTGGACCAAATAAACTGAAACTCATTTGCTCTAATAAAAGGAATGTCTGTAAGTGAGGCTACTGTGGCTCACGATATGGCCACACTTTGCTTTGCTTTATGATGATATATTGGTGTTCTCTATCTGCAAATAAGAGAGGGGTGTCTGTTTATTTAGTCATAAACACTTCACAGTAGAACCAAAAGAAAAATTAAATAAAGAAAGATTCAAACCCTGTTTTCAGTAAGCAACTTTAAGGTGGTGAAACAAATAATAACCCACTTATTTCCTATCAGTACATCTATATGCAAAACCTCGGATATTAATGAATATTGTCAGGCTGCTCTCTCGTGGTTTTAAATAGAAGAAGGTTATTAACAGTTAGCAGAATCCAAGAGAAATACAGAAAACTGAAATACAAGTGCTTTGCTTTATGATGATATATTGGTGTTCTCTATCTGCAAATAAGAGAGGGGTGTCTGTTTATTTAGTCATAAACACTTCACAGTAGAACCAAAAGAAAAATTAAATAAAGAAAGATTCAAACCCTGTTTTCAGTAAGCAACTTTAAGGTGGTGAAACAAATAATAACCCACTTATTTCCTATCAGTACATCTATATGCAAAACCTCGGATATTAATGAATATTGTCAGGCTGCTCTCTCGTGGTTTTAAATAGAAGAAGGTTATTAACAGTTAGCAGAATCCAAGAGAAATACAGAAAACTGAAATACAAGTGGTTCAGATGCATCTGGTGACTCCTTCTTGACCTCTTTGCTCAGCTCTATAAACACACCAATATATGACAGACAATATGAGATCAGTAAAGCAGGAAGCCCTCTGCGTGTCAGCTGCACTGCCTTCCCTACTGGGTCTGTTCCTTTTTTACTAGTAATCCTCTCTGTTGGTGTGTTATCAGGCGTAGATTCCACTACTAAACACGGCAGTGCAGGATATTTTTCCCCCTGTGGGCTGTCAGTGTTGAGGGATTCCCCCAGCTTTTATTTATTCTTTTTTTGGTTGTTTTTTTTTACTGTAACAAAAACCTGTTACCTCAACAGACTGAACTAACCTGTTTTTTCATAGGAAGACCAACATCGGACACATGACTGCTTGGCTTGCATTTGTAAATAGATTACTGCAGGACAACTTTTCAGTTTTTACATCACTTTAGTGTCTTATTGCTTTGGTAATCTCGATTAAACTGATAGTTGGGGATCTTTATTCAGAAGTTTTGTTAAGATTTCATCTACAGTAGCTACCAATCTTAAAGTTTTCATCTAGAATAAATCTAAAATAGCTGGTATCAGAGATTAACGGCAATAGTTAGATTGAGAAAAGGACATTTATAACCTTAAAATCCTAAATATATAAAAGAAATAGTTTTATTTTGACACTATCATATTAACCTTAAAAACAAAATCCACTCTCCGCTTGACTTGTACAAACATACAATAAGAGTCATATTACGGTACTAAGAAATCAGCCATGGGCTATTTCAAATAACATATATTAAATGTAGAACATATTAAGGCTTTTCCTTCAGAGTAACACAGTTTTTATTTCTTAAACATAATTTGTATTCAACCAAGAAGTTGTGTTTTTGAAAGCAATAAAATATCTGATATTATACTGAAATAATGCAAAATATGTCTTTATATGCATCTATATAAATAATATATATATATATATATATATATATATATATATATATATATATATATATATATATATATATATATATATATATACATTTGACGTATTTATATATTACAAAAATATGACACGTCCAAAATATTTTTAACATTTCCCATAATCACTGGATATGAGTAAAAATTCTGACTCTAACACTTAAAGGTATAATGGGGGATTTTTGCAAATTTAGTTGCAAAGATCGGTACTCTCCCCTTAAAAAAAATGCTCCAAAGAGGGAATACCTATAAATGCATGCGAAAGCATGCGTGACCCCATTTCTCCTCGTGCACATTCTGTTTTAAAGTTGTTGTTCTCATAGCTCCTTATCAGTCCTTGGCCCAAAATCCCTCAATCAATATATAGAGCAGTGACTTTATAGTACACTTAATAGCGAACTCAGTTAACTGACTGTTCGGACAGATGATCACTGCTTTTTATCTCCCCATTGGCCACGTAACTCCTTCTCCACTGCGAGGTGCCTGCTCCATCTTATTGTTCACCGCTATCAGGTAGTGACAGCCTATGGTGACAGCAAATCCCATAATACTTTGCGAGGAGAGTTTTCTGCGCAAAGTATATGTGCCTTTCTTTTCTTCTCATACACTTCTTATATATAAGAATATATATATATACATATATATATAATTAAACTGATATAACTTATCAATGTAGTAAAATCAATTCAGCAGACTGTTTACTATGTCACATACTTAAAATGAGGGGATATTCTTTATATTTTCCATATTCCGTGACAATTTATAGAAGACCATCATTGGTTATTGCTGCTTCCTGTCTTTATTGCTGCACTGTATTCACTAGTTTACCTGTGCACTACCTAGTGCAAAAGTATCGATGAGGTTAAAAAATCTGCATCGGCAGAAACTGTTTTGGTTAAGGGTAATTTTAGGACAATGGCCGTCGCTTTGTGCTTGACCCTTCTTTAGTGAAGTGATAGCCTCCGCTACTGGGTTCCAACTAATCTGAATTTATGCGTAAGATACCCAGATTTTGCCTGCTCCTCTTTTCCAAGAACTCGAGGTTCTTGAAAAAGATGAGAACTTTAGCGAACACTTTTTTAACTGTAATTTCAAAGAGATTTTTTTTGTCAACAAAACCAAAAACAGAGATGGCTATAACTGACAAGGCTTAGTTTCCTGATACTCTGTGTGTTGGCTGAATAGCCAGCATTCATAAGGGATTCCTAAAACAGCCCAGTCAATACTAAAATTACATCACTCCTAGCCTCAGATGGAAACAGGAAATAATACAGAAAAAAACTTTATTCTTACTTAGGATACATTATTTATTGACATACTGGGATGAGGGTTATAAATGTTGACAGAATAACCCGACATAAATCAAAGAAGAACACCAATAAAATGCTACTGACTGAGGAATTTGTGATGCAGAGTCATAATGATTTAAAGTTAAACACAATTGACCTCCTTAGAAATATAATTTACAGCATCTTATATATAACATTTGTGTTTTATATCTGGAGTTATCTCTTCATGATAAAAACTGGGATAGTATTTGTAGGAATAGGTTTAACAGCTTTTGACTGTGTAATGAGCCAGTACATTATGTTGAATTATTATTTCATAGATATACACCAAATACCATTGTTGAGGTCAGCAGGTCAAACAACACAGTAGGGTTAAAACTGTAAAAAACCTTACTTTCTGTTTCTGTTATATTTCATAGCAATTGGAAGCAGGATTTCTCAGAGCTTCATAAGCTGGACTTGATCTGCTTTTTTAAAAATTAGTTTCCCACCACAGCTTACTGAACAACATGTGCAAATAAAGGTTACCAAATTAGCTACAAAGAAGTTTAGCTTGAATATTTCAAAGTTGGATTTAATTTTTTTTTTCTGGTGGTGCTTATTTTTGTAAAATCATGATAAGATGGCTTTCTCTCTGCCTTTGGATTATTAGAGATGTTTTCCTTTTTGGAAAATTATTGGTAAAACTCCAGTCAGCAGGTTTAAATTAAGAC